TTCAGATGTCGCCCCGTAGAAAACCCGATTACCCGACTCCTACTCAGGCTACTATAGTCGCACAGTTCCGCGACTACCACGCTGAAAAGTTCTCAGGGCAGGGAGATCCCCGTATCGTGGACGGGTAGATTCAGAATCTTAGAAAGGGATTAAGTTTGAGAACTCTAGATTCAATTCTAGATTTACTCAAGTCAAGTTAGCAACTTGTCAGGAGATTTGTAAGCACTGTGCTAAACAAATCTTAATAATCATGTTTCTCAGATATTTCTATCGAAAATTGTCGTTTTGCCAATCAGTTGGCTGATTCCAGGGAGAAATTCCTAGAGTTAGATCAGGGAATAGACTCAAATTTCCTAAGTCAGATCAGTAAATCATGTTCAAGGCTAAAATTTTCATGTTAAAGGTTGTTATAATTCTCAAGTCATTGTTAAGGTAACGGTTTCCAGTGTATAAGAGTCAATAGTCCGGGTTACCATGGAGGCTTGAAATAATAGCCATTCAGCCGGGTATACCATGGAGGCTTGAAGCTGAAACCGGAGCAGTATGATTTCATGTAATAACAACCTTTCAAGTCAGTCATGTCAGATATTTTATCAGTCATGATATTTCAAGTTATGATTTTTCAAAGATCAAGATCAGCTAATTACTTTGTACTTGCGGGACCAGTTGATACTGGAGCAGCTCTATACAGTACAGAGTTACAAATTCATGTTCACGATTTACAGTTTATGTTCATGATGTAAGGTCGACGTATAATAGTTGTTCAGCCGGGTTAAATGTGGCGGTCTGATATACAGACCATTAGTCCAAATTTATCTGGAAACTTGAAGTCATACCTTATCAAGTCAAGTAAGTCAGTAAATATCACGTTTTAAATCCCGAAGCGACTACTTAGTTGTCTCGGGAAGTTTTCAGAGTTCAGACAAAGATGATTCAGTCATGTAAGAGTCAAGTCATGGTTATTCAGTCATGAGAATATTCAGGCCAGTCATGTCAAGATCAAGAATAGTCTGTCTAATAAGACAAGACTTATCTATCATTTTCAGTATATTAGCGCCTCGAGTCTCAAATTCGGAAGAATCTGAGAAATCGGGGGAGATATTCATTCATGATGGACTTCTTCTTGAGGTTAAGTTTAACCTCGGAAGGAGTAAACAGTTGCAGGTACCACAGGTTGATATACGCCGCGACGAAGAAGGGCCAATCGATAGCAACAGATCGTGCCAGGATGACAAACTGACGCCTTCCATTCAAAGATGCCATGCTTGAGTCTCAGTACACTGGGAGATTACAGAGAGTTAGTATTAACGTACATTGAGGTTACTAGCTTGAGGTATAAATGCGATCAGATTACATCAACGACGCAGGGTGCAATGTTCGCTAGGTGCTGTATGCAGGCGTGCCGCACTCACTTGATGAGGAGCAGGTGTGCCGCATTACAATGTGCCGCGAACGATGTGCCGCGTTGTCGAGCAGACACTCATGAAAGGTAATTACCAATACAACTAGTTATCCTCATTTGTACATATGTGTATCTCTGGAATCTTCCGTGTGTACCAATGGCTGAAGTTTTCACAACCAGCATTCCGATTAGAGATCAGCCAGCAGCCAGGAGATGATGGCCAATACGTTTCAGAGTTTCGTTTTGAGATCATGTCTTGTCAGTGGAACACTTTCTTTCAGAAAAGTGTCCATTCTTAGTCAGCAGTATTCTACAATTCACTTAATTGTGAATTGATGTATCTTCAGTTCAGATCAAGTCTCGTATTCAGTATTAAATTACTGGATTCTCAAGTCATACAATCAGTAAGTATAAGCTTTAAGTTAAGCTTGTACATTCCAGTTTTAGTATTTCCGAGGACGGAAATATTTTAAGGGGGGTGGATTGTAACGCCCCGTATTTTATTAATAAAGGAAATACTAGCTTTCAGTTTTAAGCTAGCCTTTGTTAATAAATAATCATGTTCATGTTCAAGTTCAAGTTATTCAGTTAGTTATATTCCAAGTTCGACTATTAGTTGATAAATTATTCGGTTAATTATTTCATTAACCGGATAAGTTTCCAGATTTAATTCCGATTCATTTAATTAATTAATGAATTAGGAATTAATTATTCAGTCAGGAATATCCCGTCATGTTAATAATAATAAATCATGTATTTAATTCCGATATAATACTATTGTCGAGTATTATTTTCGAAATTAATTATTTTCAGTCAGGATTATCCGAAATTATTTTCGACGTTCCGTTTACGTTCGAAATAATTTTGGTAATTAAGTATTATGCTTAATATTTAATTAAGCATAAAGTGAGGATTAAGGTTAATTAATCATGGTTATAATGATTAAAACCGTGAGTAATTCTCAAGCATGTAAATTTGCCCAAACTTTACTCCAAAAGCCGTAGCCTTCTTCAAGCAAGGGAATCTTTTTTGTTATCTAGCATGAGGTGGCAACATATGTGGGATGACTCATTTTATTTCACCTTCAAATTATGGCAAATGGCTTGAAAAGGATTAGGCCACGTAAGTACTACATCAACCCATAATTTGGGTACGACTACATATATATATATAAGTTGCATGGGGAGAAATTCTCCCTATACTTAACAAATATATATATGCGGAGCTTACTTAGCAAGAGAGAGAGGGGAGAGTGCTCTTGAAATTCACCTTAAGCAAGAAGACTTAACCGTACGCGAGCTAGTACGCGCACCGCACCGCACGACGAGTACGTCGCATGCTGGGAGTAGAGGGGGACGTTAACTCGTGAGCCAGTTAAGGAGGTAATCCTCTTATAATATTCGTACGGTCATGTTGCTCCTTTTCAGTTAATTAAGTTCATGCGTTCGAGTTAAGCTTCATGTTCAATTGCCGTGCGTACGGTTTATGC